GGGGGGGGGGGGGGGGGGGGGGGGGGGGGGGGGGGGGGGGGGGCGCCGCGACACCCAATGTTGGAACCTATCCCAGCCTACGAATGCCGCTGGGCCCGATCCCATCCGCAGGCAGAAACGAAAAAAAAAAAAAAAATTAATAATAAAAATAAAAACGTAAGCTGCTACGTAAACTGAGTAAGAAAAGTGACCATCTCATTACCAATCCGCGTCTCTTCTACTGGATGGAAAGCTGCACGACTGGCGTCCCAATACGATCTTTCTCTACCCGTACATTCTCTTCTTCGGGATCCTCTCTCCTCTCTACCACTACAGCCTACATATTACCGCAAGTTAGTAGCAGGTAATGAAAATAGCACCTGTAAACTAGCCATGCACAACGAACTCGAATTCATACTGTGTCACCCCCAGCTCTGCCCCAGACGACCGCAAAGCAGCAGAATGACGGACAAAGATCATATCCATCCGCGCCTCTTTTCTCTCTTCTGCCTGCACCTGCATTACTAGTTCTATTCACGTCCTATCACCATCGAGATTATCATCCTGAGTGTGCCGGGGTCACGGTCCCACGAGTCACATGCCTGGGTGCGTTCCCTTGGCTGGAAGGACCATGTGGGGATGGCGACGTCAGACGACAGAACAGGTGCGGATACCGGGAATCCCCCCCCCTCGAATCTTGAGATAGCCAAGGTCCACGGGCGGACAGCCAACCGAGTTGATCATCCGGGAACGAGTCGGGCTATCTGCAATATCTGCACAAACCTTCGTCATTTCTTCGCTGTACGTGCGCTGTACGTGCGCTGTACATTGCGGTGTTAGCAAACAGAGGAGGATGAGCGTCGTCACGCAGAGGAACCTCGAACTGCATGTCGCTTGCCATGGCTTTTTTTTATTTTCATTTTTTGGTTTGATAGAAGACTGGAAAAGAAAATTTAAAATATAAACATGAAAAAGGCCAAATGCAATGCATACTATGTGTCGGTGCTTTGGGTGGGCGTATAGGGTCATAAGAGCAGACCCCAAACGCCAATAGTAGGATTCCCCTCGTCGTACAGATAGAATACGATATAGTACAATAACTATATCGGCTACCATGGATACGACAGTCCACTCGTAAAGAGAGCACTAGGCCAGGCGGGTGCGACGTACAAGTTGTACGTACATCGTGAGATTACAGTTCTAAGCATCGCGTGGCCAAAACGGTCGGTTTTTGTGGGCTTTTTGGCTGAGCGTAAATTGTGGGAACGTCCTGTGCCGAGAGGCTGGAAGGACGGGAGAATCCCAGCAATTCAAGATCTACATTATATCAATCAACCTCGCAACCGCTAGGAGATGGCCACTCGATGACAATGGCCCCCCCACCACTCTCCCTCTCCCTCTATGCCCTCTCGTCCTTCGGTTCTCATACCCTCCCGTCTTGGGTGACTATCCTGTTCTCGAACCTGGAAATGCGCGTCCAGTCGTCTTGGCTCTGACGGTGGAGAGGGGATAGTGTAGAATCAATTTAAATCACGATCATCAATCCTTGGACAGGAGAAGAAGTGGTATTCTCTGTCTTGCGTACGTTGTCTTCCTGTATAAAAGACGACTTTGGACAGCCACTTCCCCACGTCATGATGCTGGAAGTCAAGTTGGTAGCAAGACGGCATGAGAAACGATCACTATGCGAAATGCTAGGATACAATAAGAAAGGACAGCTGACTCTGGCACTACTATTATCAGTCTGGATATCAAGGCTCTCACCACGCAGCACGAAAGCCCCAGGCTTGTAATATAGTGGGGCATTTTAGGCGGTGGGCGCCCCTCCTCAAGCGTACGGACCGGCAGTATGCGACAACAGGACCCCAGTTAAAAAAAAAAAAAAAAAAGTTCATACAAAGTTCTGCCGACCAAGAAATTCTCGAGACCATCATCGTCAGCTAACACCACCACTCATCTCTTTGACATGCTCTTTTTTTTCTTCGTCTTCAGCAGCACGATCCATTAGCGACCCTTCGATTCATTCACACCCACGCACGCACACCCACACACGCACACACAGTCAGACGACAATGAAACGCAAGCTCGATCAAAACGACCGACCGGCCTCTGTCCACGAAGCGGACAAGCCCGACGACGACGAGCCCACCACCGTCGCACAGCAGAAGAAGCAGAAGCAACAAGACCAGGACCTCTCCTTCACCGACCTCGGACTGGACCCGCGCCTTCTCCAGGCGGTCTCCAAGCAGAACTTTGAGAAGCCGACCCTCGTCCAGCGCCGGGCCATCCCCCTAGGCCTGGCGGGCAAGGACATCCTCTGCAAGGCCAAGACGGGGTCGGGCAAGACGGCGGCGTACGTGCTGCCCCTGCTGGCGTCGATCCTCAAGAGGAAGCAGTCTCTGCCGTCGTCGGCGCCGACGGCCGGCCCCTCGACGTCGGCGCTGATCCTCGTGCCCACCCGCGAGCTGGCGGACCAGGTGTTCAAGTCGATCGAGCAGTTCGCCGCCTTCTGCGCCAAGGACGTGCAGTCGGTCAAGCTGACGGACAAGCTGTCGGACGCGGTGCAGCGGAGCCTCCTGTCTAACTCGCCCGACATCGTCATCTCCACCCCCGCGCGGGCCTGGAAGAATGTCGACTCGGGCGCGCTCTCGCTCGACGCCCTGACCTTTTTGGTCCTCGACGAGGCTGACCTCATCCTGTCGTACGGCTATACCGACGACATGGACAACCTAGCCAGGTCGGTGCCCAAGGGTGTGCAGACGGTCATGATGAGCGCCACGCTGTCGACCGAGCTCGATGGCCTCAGGAAGATCTTCTACCGGGAACCCACGCTCCTTGATCTCGAGGAGCCGGAGGCTGATGGCGAGGGCATCACACATTACGTCGTCAAGTACGTTTCATCTCCCTCCCCCTCTCTCTATCCTTCTCTCTCTCTATCACACACGCACACACAAAGCCTCGCTTCCTCCCTGTCAAAGAAAACCCTATCCGTCATGACCGATATACTGACTTGCATATTCTTCTATCGGTAGGTGCGGGGAAGATGAGAAGTTCCTCTTAGCATACGTCATCTTCAAACTCCACCTGATCAAGGGCAAATGCATCATCTTTGTAGCCGACATTGACCGATCGTACCGTCTCAAGCTCTTCTTTGAGCAGTTTGGCATCCGCAGCTGCATCCTCAACTCGGAGCTCCCCGTCAACTCGAGGATACATGTTGTCGAGGAGTTCAACCGCAACGTGTACGACATCATCATCGCGTCCGACGAGAAGAGCGAGATGCTCAACGTCGACGCCGAGGAGGAGGACGAAGCAGACGAGGCGCCAGAATCCAAGAAGGAGGCTGCTGCCGCAGGAGACGACGCCGAGAGTGACGGCAAGCGCGCCAAGAAGAAGCGCAAGACGGCCAAGAGAGATTCAGAGTATGGAGTATCGAGAGGTAAATCCACCCACTACCTGCCCTCCCCCCTCCCCTCTCTATCTCGTCTCTCTTCCCGTCATTTGATGTGATTTTTCATATGCCAGATGACTAACACACCGCTCCTCCCCCCCCCCCCCCCCCAGGAATCGACTTCAAAAACGTCTCCACAGTCATCAACTTTGACCTCCCCACCACGGCGTCCTCGTACACCCACAGGATAGGCAGGACGGCCCGCGCTGGCAAGAATGGCATGGCCCTCTCATTCGTCGTGCCCGGATCCCTGTACCGCAAGCACATGCCCACGACGGTCAAGACGGCCGAGAACGACGAGCGCATCCTGGCCAAGATCACCCGTCAGCAGAAGAAGAAGGGCAAGGAGGTCAAGGACTACAACTTCAACAAGGAGCAGGTCGAGGCCTTCCGGTACCGCATGAACGACGCGCTGCGTGCCGTGACAAAGGTGGCCGTCAGGGAGGCTAGGACCCGTGAGCTGCGTCAGGAGCTGCTCAAGAGTGAGAAGCTAAAGAGGTGTGTTCCCTCTCTCCCTCCCTCCCTCTCTCCCTCTCTCTCTCCACAACTGCTGACAACACCCCCACCTGTCTGTTATAGATACTTTGAGGAAAACCCTGGAGAACTCAACCACGTCCGTCACGACGGTGAGCTGCGCACGGCAAGGTCGCAACCCCATCTCAAGCACGTACCCGAATACCTGCTCCCCAAGGAGGGTAAGCAGGGCCTCACGTCGGAGGAGATTGGTTTCGTGCCTCTGAAGAAGAGGGGGGACAGGCACAGGAAGGGCAAGCGTGGATTCAAGGCCGGCTCGAGGAGGGGAGATCCTCTCAAGACGTTTAGAGCGAAGAGGAGGACGAAATAGATGTGACACTTGTAGGGAGCGGGTGGAGGGATGTAGAATGAGAATAGCGAATGACGAGTGGTATATGACGGAAAAGATGAAGTTTACAATACAATGCAGTTTGGCCAACTGCTCATCTACCTGTCCTTCTCCTCCTTCTCCTCTTTCCGTCCTCCCTCTTCCATCGTCTCCTATCGATCTATGTTTCGACCATGTCCTCTCCCCTAGGCCTACATTATCGAGTGGGCTATACGAGCACCGTACGGTATCATCACAGGTCCAGAAGGAAGGACAGAGGAGTGGAGAGAAACCGCCTAACGGTGCTGCATGCAGTGACACACGTCATCGTAGAAGAAAAACCCAACACGAGGGGGTTGTTCCAGGGGGGACTTAGAAGGGGGGAGGTGTAAATTTTACTTTGTGTGTGTGTGTGTGTGTGTGTCTTGTGCTCTCCCCACAACGTTCTACCTCCCTTCTCTTCTTGATCCTCGTACCGAGTGCTGAGCCGTTCAGGACGGATATTACATGTGATTGGGAACTAGTATTCCCTATCGAAGGCTACGTACTAGTGGGCATCGAAGTTTCCAGACTTATAGACGGATGGACAGAAAGGAGAGACTTGTACAGAAGAGAAGCTATGAGGACCAATGATCTCAGCACACTGGCAAAAGTGTGGGCAATATGTAATATCATGCTCCATCTCTTAGTAAAGGCCGAAAGAAAGAAAGAAAGAAAAGGGCAGATACGGAGGAGTGTGATACATGTAGAAGCTGGTAGGCGGGGCAACTTTTTCCTACTCACGTCGCTGCCATGATGTACACAGCCTCGATGCTTCTTTTTTCTCTCTCTTCTTCTTCCTTCTCCACTCTTTCTCTTCTCTTCACTCACTTATTTATTAAACTTTTTTTTGATGTATGAAAGAGGCCGGTGGAAAAGCACAGGCTCATTTAATGAGACAAGATTGGCACGTGTTGCAGAGCTTGGCTTCTCCTCTAGGGGGATAGTGCAGATGCAGCTGTGCGTGGGATGTTGCACATTTTTTCAGTCACTAGATAGACACACACACACACACACACACACACACCAAAAAAAAAAAAAAAGGAGGGGGGGGAGGTAACACTGGTAGAGAGAGAGGAAGAAAGAGAGGAAGAGAAGTGATTCATAATAACTGACAACGATCAATACCAGTTTTTCCATATTTACGAGTAGGAATATAGAAAGGCAACGGCACTGCCAAGTAGTATGTAGAATCAAGAAGATGAGATGGCCTGATATAAGAGTCTTTTTTACTCTTCTATTCTTCTTTTTTTTCCTCTACGTGGATCAGTAGCAGCACAGACTGAGACTCAAGGGTCGTGTGGGGGAAGTGGGACAGGACGGTATTCTAGTGGCTTCTTCACCGCCCCAGCCGATGAGTTTACAGCGTCCTACAGCGACGACCCGACGATGAGACCGACGGGATGTACAGTTAGCAGACCTCTCTCTCTCTCTCTCAGTCAGAGAGAGGGTCGAACGTCACCTGCTATATCCATACTCATACGCGGTACTCTCAAGGAAGCAGGGTAGACTGGATCAAGCAGTCTAGGGGACAAGAGGGCGGATAGCCGACCATGTCATCATCACGGGGAGGGCACAGAATAAGCCAAGGCTCAGCAACGACGGACTGATAGATTGAAGAAGAGTTGACGCTCTGCCCCAAACTTGGGACACGCCGTTGCAAGTAGCCCCGGGTCGTCGGCTTCTAGATAAAAGAAGGTATGCAGGTTCAATGGGGCCAAAGCACGTCGCACTTGGACAAAAAAAAAACATCATTATTCTTATGTTCTAGTGATACTACAGAAACACGGCGTCGCTTCAGCGGAGAAATCCCGCGAAGCCGTCGACACTTGACTGGAGAAGAGACTCTGGGATCTTGGGTCCTACGATTCAACACCATGCTTCTTATGTGCAACTGACGTCGAACAATTTCCGCTTGGCATGTCCCGCACCTTTTCTCCCCCCCTCCCCTCCTTTCTCTCTCTCTCGCTCTCTCTCTCTCTCGCTCTCTCTCTCTCTCGCTCTCTCTCTCTCTCGCTCTCTCTCTNCCCCTCCCCTCCTTTCTCTCTCTCTCGCTCTCTCTCTCTCTCGCTCTCTCTCTCTCTCGCTCTCTCTCTCTCTCGCTCTCTCTCTCTCTCTCTCCCTTCTACCCGTCTCCTCTTCTAACAGGTAACCCGAACACAGGTACCGACCATCCGAAAAGGGGGGGGGTTTGGAAAGGAGGGGCGACCGCTCCGACGGGGGTTTCCCTCATGCTATCCAATCGCTGCTACTGTCTTCACATTCCCGTGAGAAGTTTTTGTTTCTCCACGTAAAACACTCATCGGTACCTGCTCGTACGTTTGCTGCTGCTAACCACCCTCCCCCCACCATCCAAGCATGTCTATTACGTGTCGAGCAGGAGGAAGAAAAAGGGTTCGTACTCTATAGCTGTAGTAGTGCGTTGTAATGTGTACGTGGTGGTTTAGTAGGAAAGGCGTAGACTGGTCGTTCCTTCTTTTTTTACCCTCCTCGTCCCCCCCTTCTGCTCTCTCTAGTTCCTCTCGTTTCCGTCATCTGTCTGCTCGGATTTCGCTTTCTACCCCCCATCTTCTCAGTCTTGGACTTGTTATACTTATACTGTCCCCCTGTCTTCTGTGTAGCCATAAAGATCGGAACACGGGAAATCATCAAAGAAAACAATTCCCCATAATGGGCCGTTCAAGGAATCTCAACGTCTATAGCGGTCCTGATTCCGTAAAGACCTACTTCGACCCAGAATGTCAACCTCCCCTGCCCCTCGTCGAGATACCCGAGTCTCTGAACCCTTACCGCGGTGATGGTGTCCGCGTCTATGCTAAGATGATGTCTATGCACCCGGCCACCAATGTCAAGGTGATGCCAGGTCAGTCCCACACACTCTCTCTCCGTCTACCAGTTATGCTCGGTGGACAGGACGGAAGAGAAGAGGAGGTTTTTTTTTATTAGGGAGAAGCTAATTGTAGGGGTATGATAGCAATGAACCTTCTCGAAAAGGGTGTCGAGCAGGGAAAGACCAAGACCATTGTCGAGAGCAGCTCCGGCTCAACCGTCATCTCCATGGCCATGGTGGCCAGGGCCTTTCACGGTATCGACGACGTCCACGCCTACCTGAGCAACAAGACGAGCGAGACCAAGATTCGTCTCATGCAATTCTTTGGCCTGAAAGTGTAGGTACCACGCTCCGAGCGGCAGACGATGACGGCTTGCCAAGACGGGAAGGCCGGGACGGGAAGGAAAGCAGGGAAGAGTCGGAAGAAGAAGAAAACTGACGCTCCCGATTCCAGCTCCCTCTTTGGTGGCCCGGCCCAGCCCGCTCCCATCGACGAGCGCGGTGGCATATGTGCTGCTAGTCGCAGGGCGCGCGAATCAGAATCAGTCTGCAGCCCTAACCAGTACCGGAATGGCGATGTAGGAAAACTCTCCAGGAAAAGTTACAAGAAGAAGAAGAAGGAAAGGCACTGTTACTGCTCTCAGCAGTATTTCCTGGAAATGGTACTGACAGCTTGACTGCTCCAGAATTGGAAATCCCACGCGCGATGGACAGGACCTCAGATCTACGAGCAACTGCCCGAGATCGACGTCATCGCCGCATCCATGGGCACCACGGGCACAATGACTGGCTTGGGAACCTATTTCAAGTCGGTCAAGCCGTCCGTGTACCGACTTGCGTGAGTTCCTCCCTGCCTTCCTCCCTCCGATATACACATACTCCTCCTCTCCACCGATGCTGACACGCCCCAGCGTCTGCACAAATGAAGGCGAACGTGTCCCCGGCCCTAGAGAGTACTCCCTCATGGACACGGTCCGTTTCCCTTACAAGGACGCCATCGACGGCCTCGAGGAGGTCGGTGCCACCGACTCCTTCTCCATGTCCCTCGACCTCACTCGCCAGGGCATCGTCTGCGGTCCCTCTTCGGGATTCACCCTCAGCGGCCTCCTTCAGATGATCGGGAAGAGGAAGCAGGAGGGCACCTTGTCGAAGCTGGCAGGTCCAGACGGAGAGATCAACTGCGTCTTCATCTGCTCTGATCTCCCCTACCAGTACATTGACGAGTACTTTGACAGGTTGGGCCCGGAGAAGTTTGCCCCCGTTCGCAACGAGGTGAGCACGCACACGCGATATGTCCACACACACACACACACACACTCACATACCACATACACATACACATGCATACACATACATACACATTCATGCACATACATACGCATACATACGCATACATACACATACGCATAGACGAGATGTCTGCAACGTATTCGAGGACGATGTGACTGACAGAGGGTAGCAACTCCGCAACTTTGACAAGTACCCCTACCACGACGCCTGGGAGTGCCCCGCCTCGTCTGCCCTGAGCTCCTTCTTTACCGTCCATCCGATCCCCCACCAGGCCTCGTCGACTCTGTCGCTGGCCACGGCCAGCGGTTCAGAGCTCTCCTGCGCGCTGGTAGCCCGCCCCAACTCGCAGGTCCTCGACTTCCGCCGCGCCTCCGATTTCGAGGCCTTCCACCTGCCCAACTCGGTCAACATGCCCCTCGAGGCCCTGCGTGAGGGAGCCGTCCGGGGCAGCCCCTTCTCCGACCCAGTGGGCGACGTTTCCATGCTGCAGGAGGTGTGGACGGAGCTGGAGTCGCTCTTCACCACGACGGCGCGCAACCCGGCCGCCGGCGCGCTCATGGCCATCCTCCGCGGCAAGAAGGTGCTCACGCTGTGCTACGATGGTGACTGCGCCCGCGTGGCCAACAGTGTTCTCCGTGCCAAGGGCGTGCACTCGGAGAGCGTTCTGGGTGGGTACGGCGCCCTCGCTGGCGTGCAGCTGCCTTGCATGGGTGGTGCTACTGGTAATTCGAGCACCGTCGACCCCGTTGGTGCATGAGCGTCAATCGACACTCTTATCTCTCTCTCTCTCTCTCTCTCTCTCTCTCTCTCTCTCTCTCTCTCTCTCTTCCGAACGTGCATGATGCTGCTTTTCTTTTGGTCTCTCTCGTGGCTTGAGACGTGGAGTCTTTTCTTCTTTTTATATCTTTTTCTTGGGGGGGGGTCTCGTTGGGAGCGAGACGTGCAGTTGGTGTCTGGGTGATTCCAACAAGAAGGAATATCTACCTGCCATCTCTGCTCGTGTTTTGCTCTCTCATGTCATTGGGACAAGCTTTGCGACCAAAAAAAAAAAAAAAGCCTTGGAAGAGCAGTGGGCATCCAGAGGCATCCGACGAGTATCGTCGATGCTCATAAATTCATCTAGACTTGTGACATTATGTCTGCACCGTCTTACCCTATTCACACTCCTTTTCTCCTCCTTGAATGTTGCACGGATGACGTGTGTCTTGTAGGACTCTCAGCTGGAATGAGACAAGCGTAGAATGCTACTCTCACCAGCTGAGAAGCGTTGCGAGGAGAAGAGGTTTCCGAAGTCTTCTATCAAGGGGTTGGGGAAAGGATGAGGAGGCTGCGATGAGTCGATCTAGCAGAGTCAAGGTCAGTCGAACATTGACGTCGGGCGGACACTACCGACAGAGTTGTACCGGGACCAGGGAGGTTGGGAAGGGTGGGTAAGGTTAGCAAGGTTGGAAGGAATGAGAGGCTTGGCCAACCCTCCATCTGGGACGAATATCGACTATTGCTTCTTAGAAAAATACGGAGTACAGATTAGCAGTAGACATGGAGATGGAAGGGAGGCTGGGCAAGCCTGTTTCTCGGCATGGTAGTATGAATCTATGCCACAGAAAAAAAAAAGACATGACCAGCCTCTCTCACCTCTCTTTTCCCATACTCTCTCTACGACATATTCTGACTACGATACAATGGCAGGTAGCGTCGGGTAAATGCATATACCTACCTGTGGGTCTCAACAAGCAGACTACCCGTAGAGTGAGACGAGAACAAGAGAAGAAGAAAAACCCCGGTGGCGGGAGGTTGGAAAAGCAGTGGTCGGGTTGTAGGCAGAGGGAGGAGGGAGAGACGGGTTCTTGGGATCCGACGACTCTGTAGAGGGTGCACGTGCAACAAAGAGTCCGGTACGGTCCCTATTCGTGATGCGACGTCATGAGTAGGGGGTAAGGAGAGGGTGAGCACGGATTGGAGAGCAAGTAGCAGGATATATCAGACAGATAGAAGAGGGACACGATGTAGAGGGAAGCCTACGTCTGCCACCAGCGCGGATACATGCGCTGTGTATATGGCGAGGAGCTACGGCTGCATGAGAGGAGTCGCACGAGAGGATGTGTCCCGAGGTTCGGAGCATCGGACGATTGAATTGATTGAATGGGCAGTCTGCATGCCAACGGGTGGAGAGAGAACGAGCATGAGCGAATGATACAATGGTGTCTAGTCGGCAGTTGGCGGTAAGGACCTGGAAGAGAGCGAGAAAGGAAGAAGAAGAGGAGAGGAGAGAGAAGGAGAGAGAAAAGACGGTGATGGAATGTACATGTCACGGTTGTCGTGGCTTGTCATGTCTCGGTGATCTACGGTGTGTTGCTAGGGTCTATAGGAGCAACCGTCGGCATGGACGGTGATACATGATACATGTGCAGATGCGGTTGGGTGGTGAAGAACATTGCGCACGATTGTCATGTTTACGCCGTTTTAAGTTGAGAATAACTACCGAAATTGAGGAAGGGGGGGA